TCTTCAGGTTCCAGTTCCAGAAGATGATGGGCAGCAAACTCTCCAATTTCTGTGTTCTTATGAGTTATACATGCACTTAAGAGCGTCCTCCAAATCATTGCATCTGGTTTCATTGGCATCTCCTTTATAAATTTTCTTGCAGAGCTCAAAGAACCAGCTCGCCCTAGAAGATCAACAACACAAGCATAATGTTCAGGCTTAGGCACTAACCCGTGCTCTTTGCTCATGGATTCGAAGTAACCAAGCCCTTCATCTACCAAGCCTACATGGCTACAGGCTGAAAGTACTCCCACAAATGTGACGTGGCTTGGCGCTATACCAAGTTGTTTCATCTCCTCAAATAGATGTATTGATTCAACACCGCGCCCATGTTGAGAATAGCCAGTAATCATGGCATTCCAAGAAATCTCATTCTTTTCAGGCATTTCAGAAAACTCTTTATTGGCATCATTAATGCTACCACACTTTGAGTACAATGTGATTAAAGCATTGGAAACCTCAGTTTCAGAATTCTTCCCAGTTTTTATAATTGCAGCATGGATCTGCTCTCCTTGTTTTATATTTGCTAAATTAGCAGCAGCACTAATTGCAGAGCCAAATGTGAACAAATTAGCTTCTACTCCAGCTTTATTCATCCGATTAAATACCTGCAGTGCTTCCTCAAAGTACCCACTCTGTGCAAACCCAGATATCAATCCATTCCATGATATATTATCTTTAGCATCAATTGCCTCAAATGCATGGTATGCTTCCCATATTCTACCACATCTGGCATACAGGGTAACAAGTGCATTTCCGACTGACAGGTCATCTGAACAACCAGAGACACACGACTGAGCATGAATTTGTCTTCCTTGATTGAGTGCTTGAATACCAGCACATGCACTTATTGCACTTGAAAATCCTATGTTGTCAGATCGAATTCCTCTCTTTTGCATTTCTTCAAAAAGTATAAGAGATTCCGAAAATAAATCATGCTGTGCATACCCTGCGATCATAGCAGTCCAAGACACAACATCATCCTCAGTGAGTCTATTGAGAATTTTCAGGGCAGTATCCAATTCCCCATGCTTAGCATACATATCAATAAGCACACTGCAGACATAAACATTGAAATGAAAACCAGTTTTTATGACTTGAGTATGTATTTGTTCTCCTAAATTGAGAGCCCCGACAGAGGTACAGGTTCTCAGAATACTAGGGTAGGTGTATTGATTAGGACTCATGCCCTCAATATGCATTTGCCTAAAAATATGAAATGATTCATTAAGATCATCTAGCTGACCATAAGCAACTAACATCACATTCCACAGGACAACATTTTCTGTCTCTGTTGTAAGGAAAAACTCATAGGCAGTTTGCACATCAGAGCATTTCACATAAAGATCAAGCAGAGAGCCTTCAAGGATGATATCTGATGACATTCCCGCTTTTATTGCAAGTGAGTGGAGTTGAGTTCCCTTATGCAGAGCACCAACATCTGCGCAGGCACTCAAAAGACTAGCAATTGTAACACAGTCTGGTTCCAAACAATCAATCTGCATTCTTTTGAACAATTCCAATGCTCTATCACTAAACCCACGCTGAGCTAGCCCAGAGATCAGTGAGTTATAAGATACTGCATCCCTGTGGATCATTGTTTTGAAAATTTCTTCAGCAGATATGAAGTTCCCTGAGCGGGAATATAATGTCACAAGTGCATTGCATACATATGTTTCACAAGAAAATCCCCCCTTGAAAATAAGGCCGTGCAGCTGTGCTCCCATCTCAAATAACTCTATTTTGGTGCAGGCACTTAGTACGCTCGAGAATACATAAGGAGTGGGTAAAATTCCTGATGTTTGCATCTGAATGAATAAGAGAACTGCTTCTTTTTCCCGTCCATTCTGAGATAAACCAGAAGTCATGGCCACCCAAGAAACACTATCCCTTAGATATAATTTATCAAAGACCTTTTTAGCATAATCCACATACCCGTTTTTGGCATACAAATCAATTAAGGGATTACATACGAGCAAATTAGTACCAAAACCATGACATATAATCCTTGTATGAATCTGTTCAACATATTGGATACGGACATTACCCCCACCACATGCCCTTAAAACACGGGCAAATGTGGTCTCATCAGGATGCACATTATCTGCTATCATTCCAGAAAAGAGATCCAATACGTGGCTGGTCAACTTCTTTGCAAGAAACCCATGAATTATGTTATTCCATGAAAATGAACTTCTGCGGGGCATGTCATTGAAAACCTTAACCGCACCTTCTAAATCACCACAGGCAAGATAAGCATCAGTGAGGCCATCACATATTACCTGTTCTGCATCAAAACCCAGCTTCAGAATCGTAGAGTGAAGCTTCTTAGAATCTAACAAGGACCCAGAACTTGAGCACCCTTTTAAAAGCCAAATATAAGTCTGACAATTAGCACGAACGCAATGTGCTTCCACCGAATGCAGGAATTCAATCCCATTTGGATTACTTTCATTTTGACGAACTAAACTACCATCGAAGATATGGGCTTTCGCAGCTGCATTACTATATTCTGCCGAGCTCAACCTTGTGACATTCCCACAAAAGCACTGCAGAAAATTTCAAACATTAAAGAGAAAAACGAGAAGACCCAGAAGACATTAAAAGATGGCGATTGGTTTGGTGCACGAGAGAATTATGAAAGAGAGAATGATTACCTTGTGAGGATTGATAAATGAGGTGGGTTTCGTTGTGAGAGTGAGTTGGTTTCTGAAATGATGCGGGAAGCGATGGGAAAACAGAGGCTCAGGGAATTGGTTTAGAGTGAGCATCAAGGATCTGAGACACCCAGACCCACTCATCTGTGAACTGTCATGGAACTGGTATATGAGAATGGGAATGGGAATGGGAATGGGGATGGAACGCAAGGAGAATAGATGATAGAGTCAAGCACAATTCTACTGCATCACCTCACCATTTTCTGGTTGTATGATTCCCAAGAACCCATTAACTGCAAATGTGAAACCAAATTATATGCTTTCTCAGACATTGCCATATCATACCATTTTGGAGAGTGGTAAATGAAATATATTGGTAAAAGCTAAGGAACAGTGCTAATTTCCAAACCAAAACCAAACTGAGAGTCAATAGAATTCAATAAGATTGAGAGAGAGAGAGAGAGAGAGAGAGAGGGGCTTACCTGGAAATGGTGATACGTAATGAACAGAAATCACAGTCCTATTGTTGTTTGACTTCTGATGTAACTTTGTACATAAATGAAACCATCAGCACCACCAGGAAGTAGTAAGAAACTAAATACAGTAAACAAACAAGAAACATATGTTACAACCAACAGGGCAGTTCCTTGGAGTTTCGCTGTAATTTCTCCCATCTTCCCTTCTTGTTTGTAGGTTGTAGGGTTGTAGGGTTGTAGGTTTGTAGCCACTTCCGCTCTGATTACTTTACAACCACACACTTGCAGAGTTGCAGTTGCGGAAGATGATGGATGGAAGGAGGGAGGGATGCGGGTATCAGCGGCGGTATGGCTTTGAGGTTTAAGATATTCACACCTTCATCTTTTTTCTTTTCTTAAATTTTATTTTATTTTCATATTCGCACTTTCATCTTTTTGTCCAATTTTAAATAAGAATCTCCCTTAATAATAAGGGAGTTTCACTAAAATACCCAAAATAGGGACTAAAATTATAAAAAAATTCAACACTCAAAACATTTTATAAACACACCCAAAACTCATCATTATACACACACAAATCCATTGATAAACACACCAAAAAAATATACCATTGTTGATTTTGGGGTTGATTTTGAGTGTGTTTCTATGTTTAAATAGTGTTTGGGTTTTTTTATAAATACATGTCTAGGATTGGGTTTATTTATAAATTTGTATAACTTAGCCCCTAGACACTCACACGTGCCAATTGGTTTTTCTTTTATTTATAGAATTAAAAAAGATAATAAAAAAGTGTTCTATAAAAATATGACCTATTATTTGATTTTATTTTATTTTTTAATTTTTTAAATATAAAAAAGTGTGAATTTACCATATTATTCTCATTTAATTAATAATTTCAACCTCCTTCAAAGAAAAATTAGTTCTTAATGTTTGGATTACTAGGGAGAAAGAATTAGAGAAGGTTTTATTTTATTTTGATTTTTAAACTGTTTAATAGTCACTATTTTACCTTCATTATATTATTTAATGTAAATGCACATAAAAATTGGTAAAAAAATATTCTATTAAATAATTGTAAAATACATGCAATTTAATGCTCGAGATTAAAAGTATGTAATGAATCCTTAACATAAAATACTTATTGGAGAATCTTCATGTTATTATTTGTTGTTGGAGTTGTTATCATTGTTATTATTTTTAGGGTTAAATATGTTTTTCGTCACTTAATTTAACACAAAAATTGGTCACTGTATTTCCCAAAGTTTACAATTTATAGACATCTGTTATCTTCCGTTAAGTGCAGCTTTTATTTTTATTTTTTTAGAAAGCGCCTTCAATCTTCCTCTTCTAACTCAATGAATTAGGGTATATTGTCTATTAGGGTTTAACAAATTGGAGTGAATCTTGGGTTGAAATCGAAATTGTGAGGTATAAGGAAAATCAAAAGGCCAAACCAAATTAAAATGAAATCAATAACTTACCAATATATTTTGGTGTTTTACCTTGATTACGTCTCCTTACCATCTGAAGTCACAACACAGTTCACTCAATTGATTTCGGGGGGTGTATTCAATTAGGATTCTAGAGTGTTTAAAAAGATTTTATTTAAGTGCCAACTTTCATAGAACTTGATGGAACTTTATAATTCGTATAGAACTTGATAAACTTTCAGAAGACTTCTGTATAATTTTTTAATAAAACTTTCTTAAGCTTTCATAGAACTTGATAGGTTTTTATTCCAGACTTATGTAGACAGTATATTTCATTGTATCCCCATCCTTGTCATTTAAAGAAAGAAAATCGAATTTTTTTCAATCAAATTTGTTTTTGTTACCCAAAGCAAAAACAAAAGTACTTGTTTGAAATGGAAGAACATATGCACAGTTCAAACTGAAAAGAATAATCCATGAATGTTGTGTCAAATATGCACAGTACTTTCAATGTTGTCAATGTATATAATAACATTGATGTATATAAAAAAGTTGAAATAAAATTTTAAACAACATGAAATAAAAAACCAAATTCATAACATCTTTTCCTTCAACAACATGAAATAAAATTATGTTTAACGAAAAGAAAAATTCATAAGAAATATAGTGACAAATGTATTACAAATTTGAAAGAAAAGTTTAAGAAAAATATTTAACGTTCATTCATCATCCTTGATTCTCATTGTTCTCATTGTGCCCAACATCTCTCCACATATCCAAAGCTATACTAACTCTCCATTCATTAGCATTATGTCGTTTTCGTTCTTGTGTTTGGAAAACTAGTTCAGGATCCCCTTCATTAACCGGTAACGATGAAGATGAAGAAGATTCATCCTCCAATTCAACAGGAAATTCGTTAGATCTACACTCTTTTCGAAGAAATTTGTGTAGTCCTACACAAGCTAACATTATTTCTGTTTGTGTTGCATATTATGTTGAATGGAAAAAAGACGCAGTATGAATTTACAGATTTGACGTCTGAACTCCGATTGGGGTGTATGATACATTTCTGAAAAGGGAACGATGTCACGAGTCAAACTCACTAGTTTACTATGACATATGATGGATTTTGGGCTTTTGGGGTCGTTTAGGCTTCCAAAACAGCATTTAAAAGTTGAAATTTTTGGATTTTCATTTTTTTTTATGTTCATCCATATTTGTCTCAGTTTTTTTGTTCGATTATAGAAAGGTTGTCAATTATTTCAATTTTATACCCAGTCGTATATAGACTCAAAAGAAAAACAAGTAGTAACAAGCATAAACCTAATAACAAGAAAAACACAATGAAGAAAAAATCATGAAAAAAGAAAACCCAACGAGGTATTGATCAAAGAAAAAATAGGGAGCATACCTTCACAACAGGAGGAAGGAAGCTGTTCGTCTTCGCAGAGAGAACAGCTAGGGCAAGAGAAAAATGTCTGATGAAATACTTGGGGGGGGGGGGGGGGGGGGGGGTTTTTTTCATATTAGGAAACCTAAAAACATGGTTCTAGAAGAAAGAAAATTTGTCACTTAATGAAATCCTTCCAAATATATGACCTTTCGAATTACACCTAGATTTGATTCAACTTTTTTATAATCCTAATTGAATACACCCATATTTGAATGAACTTTTTAAAAGTTCATATAAGTCTAAATTGAATACACCCAGACTTGTAAAACCTTTTTTAAAGTTTGTATAAATCCAAATTGAATACACCCGGATTTTTAAAATCTTTTTAAACGCTTTATAATTCTAATTGAATACACCCCCCTAAGACTATAAAATAGCATCCAATATACGACCTTATACCTCACAATTTCAATTTCAATTCAAAATTCCGCCTAATTTGTTGAACCCTTAGAGCACAATTCGTTGAGTTAGAGAAGATTGAATGTGCTACCTAAAAAATAAAAAATACACTTAACGGAATATAACGAAATGTCTATAAATTATAAATTTGAGAAATACAATAACTAATTTGGCTAAATTTTTTTCTCAGCAACCAAATTGAATTTTAACCCTTTTTTTTTATTATTAGTTAACAAGAAGGCAACTGCAGGGTCCTCAATACTGCTTTCTCACTCTCTACTAAAGCTAATGCAAAAGCTTGTATAAATTCCATTTTCGCTCTCGTTTTGGTGACCAGTCCAGAAAAATGAGTTCAAATTGGTTGCATCGTGAAAGAAAAGGAGAGAACAAATTTACTAGGATATCATTTATGCAAGAAAGAAGTGAAGTTTCTATTTCTACTATCAAAATTGCAAGTTCTTATTTATGAACTCCTCCGGGATCACAATCTCATCAATCCTGGCTTATCTGCCACTGACAACAAAGCTTTCACACTGAATCTTAACCCTTTCTTTCTACACCCAACCAGAAAATAAGAAAAAAAAATTGTTGTTGCATGCATTGCCAATGACAGCACCGGAGCTACGTTGATAGACGTGTGTCTGCCAGCAACAGCTAACACGTGTAGTAAGTATGATCTACGAAAAAGATAAGAGGAATCAATTAGCAATAAAGTGCTAGAGAAACATCCAAAATTAAGATTTCATAATGCAACAGATTTTTTATTTTTGCTCTTGGGAGAGTGAGGGGGGCGCACCATTGCTGGACCTTCCTGAACTCTGTAAGGACAGGGTATATGTTCTCAAAGGCCTTATATGTGTCTTCTCTTACCTAAGACATCAAATTAAACAAAACATTATCAAATCTCCATTTGCAAATGCAATAGAAAATAAACTAGACAGTGGACAAGAAAAAAAGCAAATCACCTTTGCACCCGTAATAACAATTTTCCCCGACACAAATATAAGAAGAACAATCTTCGGCTGCTTCATGCGATATATCAGCCCTGGAAAAAGTTCCGGCTCATACTGCACCAACATAACAAAAAATAAAGGATCACAACAGAATTTTTAAACCTGTTAGGTCTATCCATTTAGTCAAATTTTAAAATGCAAGGATCTGTTTGATCCCAATGATTCATGTATTGGCCACATACATTTTCCTATCATAATGTTGTTTCAAAGTAAGGCTTGTGTCTAGGATTCATATATAGTAGTCCTTGTGTTGGTTGAATGTATGTATGGATTCATTGTATATCTGGGAGGGAGTCATGAAAAAATTTAGTAGTCAGGCTAGTAAAGCTTCATAAGTAGGCTTGTCAACCTTTATTTCGGAACATGAAAGAACTTGCAGAATTTTCCAGCAAGCATTTGTTTATCCCTAGGATGTGTGATGCCTAAGTCTCCTACTGGGGTGATGATGGTAAAATTATCCATTTAGTCAAAATTTCTCCTCTCGTCCATGAACTTCCCTGTTGCACTTTAACCTACCAACAATTTACAGCTATCGTAAATCACACAAATATCGACTGGAGAGGGGACACACATAAATCTCATTGATTATAAGCACCTAAAATGCAAAATGTCCACATGCAACGATAATAATCTCATAAACTTGATCATAAAATATAAACACCTAACGTGCCAACCATAGACTAAGATGATCATCCCAAGAGTAGAAACGACATGGACGTCAGATCATGAAAAAAATTTAACATCAACAGACAAGAATTATGAAAGAGAAAACAAAAATAATACACGCAAAAAGAAAAGCTTAAAAATCACATCAAGTACTGACATGAAATACAAAAGCCTGGAACAGATAGTCTTCACTTACACTTGAAAAGGCACCATGAGAGTATGCAAGACCCTCAAGTCTTATAGGGAATTTAACATCACAGGAGCCAACAATATTTTGAATCTTGAAATCCTGATACTCATAAAAGCATGTATTAACAAATAATATAAAATATAAAATATAAAGGACTTGCTCTCAATGGTATTACACGAGAGAGAGAGAGACCTTAAACGAAGCACTAAATCCAAGCTTTTGGATGATTCGGGCATACTGGGAACCAAAAATATCAAAACAGATGAAAGAAATTCGTCAGTATGCCCTTGCAACCTTCTAAAGATTCACTAATCTAACTAAATAATTATGTAAAGGATATCATCAATGATCACTCCCACTCCTGATTGTGACCAGTAACAAAGGAAAAATTATTTCAGTCACAAACTCACAGCACTTGAGGTTGATACTAAATTTTTTTAAGTAAACAAGGATAAAATAAAAGTCCAATGTCACTCTACTCCTGCCTTAAAATGCCTAAAAACGCATCAAAATATATGAAAAATCCCATATATATAGAACTACGTTTTTTATAATAGTAACAATCTGTGAGAGCGTGTAACATCTACCTTCCTTGCTGCCAGTTTTGATTGCTGTTCACTTTTCGCACCTGTGCATACCTGAAGTACCAGAGAGATTAAATATCTTAAACAGTGGCAAAAAAGGTATAATGGTCAAATTTTAAATTATAAACAAGGCAGGAGGGGAAAGGGAGGGGGGCTTATCACGTTCAAGAGCCCATGAGAAATGCAGTAGTCAACTAGAATTGCACGAGTAAATTTTTGAAAGCCAGTTTTGGCAGCAGAAGTGGAGGGTGCAAAAACAGGATCTTATGAAATTATTGACCTACCACCCATGACTTATGGTAGTTCCAATAAAAGAGACTGAAAACATAATTTTAAACTGTAACAACTAATTCAATGCCAATTCTACTATGTACACATGCCATTTCAAATGAAACTCATAAAAGGATAACTCCATCTCCAAATATATCTTGTCATCTTGAGCATCAAAAGTTGTCAATTTAAGCTTCAAGATATTGTAAATTTTAGACAAAACATGCAGTCCAGATGACCATAACCAATATCAGACATACACTTCAACTTAGACTTAATAACCAAAATTAGCTGATGACAAAAACAGTAAATTATGGCAAAGAAAAAGGCAAAATACATTACTGACACTTACATGACAATTGACAAGGTCATGTATGTGGGGTTCCAAACACATGTCAACAAATACATAATCATGTCTGAATTGTACCCCAATAGCCATGTCCACGGATAATAGCACAATCAATTGGATTATGATATCAAACACATCAAGTACGATAAACTGTTCTTTCAGATCTCACATGGCAGCAAAGATTTAAAGAACAAAGGCATTTACCACCAATGGTGGGACTGAACAGGAGCCTGAGAGATTCAAATGTATACCAGTTCCAAAAATGTTATAGAAACAAATTAGGAACAGCTGAAAAGAAATCATGCTGTTGTCAGCAATTGGAATAGCAGAAATTTGTGGAGAGCTCACCATCTTCCCAGAGGCAAATATCAACGCTGTAGTTTTTGGTTCCCTTATTCTCATAATAACAGCGGCAAAACGCTGCAAGAACATTCAATAAAAAATAAGTTATTATTCAATTCTCCTAAATGTCTAAAGCACCAGAAAATAAATCATGGTCTGTTATTGACACAATTTAAGTCATACCGAGATGGATCCGTGTGTTTGTTCCAGGGGGGATGTGAGAGAGAGCGAGCGAGTTCAACAGAAATTCAACCAATTTTATAAGATGCTAAGGAATCACTGAATGCTCGACATTAAAGAAATAGTGATAGGATTATTAGCACATCTGTTTAGTTTGCTATTAATTATGTTTTTTTTCTCTTCATATAAACTGGTCCCTTTTATTACAACAAATACTTATTGGCTGGGAGGACTTGGGAGGCATACGTATGAAAAGCAGCGTGAAAGGAGTACAAGTGTCAACTTTTACTGGTTTCCAATACTTTCTACCCACATGAAAAGCAACGACATCAAAGTTTCGGTGAATGTCAGAGGCTAAAAAAAGAGTGAACTACCAACACTCAACTGTCAATACACTACAGAAACGAATTATACACAAACTCTTGCATACCTTGGGGTTGTATTCTGCGTTCCGAGCTTGCAACGCAATTTGCTTGAGATCCAGCCGGCAACCCAAGTAAACCGTAGATACGATATTCCTACAAACACAACCAGAACAGAAGGAATTAATAAGCTTCATTATTTAGCATAAAATACTCCAGATTATAAGAATAATGTGTTAATAAAAAGTAAAAGAAAAGAATTGAATATTAATAATTCCACTACAAACAAACCATAAGAGATGAACACTTGTTGACAATTCCGCACATTCTATAGCAAAGACATTTTAATAACATTTCTTCATATCTTTGTGCTAATAGCACAAAGTTTTGCATGACCCAAACATACATATCGAATAAATGGATAGCATGGACCAACAAAGGGCACAAAACCCATATAAGCTTGTTTTTTAGTAGCGAAGTTCTACCACAGATGCAGTACATTTGGCATCAAAACAAGTTCCATCACACAATAGAGATATAGCTCACAGAAGGGAGGCCTATAGGTTAGATTAAAATGTCTTGATATTATGCATGCGAAAAGTACAGAGGCATTGAAAACTGGTAGGTGACTAGGAAGGACAAAAAACTTTATCCACCAAGCCAGTCTGGAGAGACTCCAGGTACGGAAACCTGGTGGACTTCATCACTAAGCTTGGCCGGAAAACTAAAAACAAAAATACTCTTTCCATGTAAATCAGTTTTGAGAACAAGTTCGAGCCATAGCTTCGTTTACAATAACAGAGAGCACTATCTAATGAAATCTTTCATTGGCAGATAGAATTCAATTCCCACAAGATTTAGATAAAACAGAAAACCAAAGTTCATATAAATTGGGGAAAAATTCGACTTCAACCACAAAAGTTGGAAAATTTTCAATCCTTTTAAAACACAAAAAGCATCTTAGGGATGCAAATGAATCAGTATAAACTAAAAAATTTCATCTTCCTTCCGCTTTGGGAGACCACTGTAACCCCATCAACCTACAAACCGATAGTCCTAGAATAAACCCATGAACCAATTAGATCTAAACAGGCCCACTACGCAGTACTCAACTCAGGAGCCTTGTACATGATGAAGATGGTTTTCTTTTCTTTTGCCAAAAAATGATGAAGACGGTTCAATAAAACAGAATTAGAAACTTCAAATGCAAGAGGGCAGAGAAAGACTTACTGAAGAGTGGGAACAATACCAGAGGGGTGAATGGAAAGATCCACAGGTTGGTTCTCTTCGAATCCACCTTGTTCCTCCATTCCCTGTATCCCACCTTCAAGACTTCGGCGATTTTCCAAATATAGTATAATAAAGAAGAAAATATATATATGTTTTAAGTGTTCTTCTGTTTCTGCTACAAATCCTTTAACTTTGTTTTTCTGGGTTCCGGGAAATTATTCCTTATAATCGTCCTCAATCAGATCCAGAGCTTTCGGTAATCTAGGGTTCCAAAAGGATTTAAGAAAACAGAAGAATTGAGAAAATAAACTCGGAGAAAGTTCGCGGGAAAATTGGAATTTGGGGGGGGAGATTTTCAAATAAGGGTGTGTTTTATAGGTATTGATGGAAGAAATTGTGAGCGATCGTGGATTTTGTTTGGGGTCGGGTCTGGTCTGAGAGAAGGCAAATGCGATTTTATGCGGGTGGTGAGGAGGTCCTTTCGCTTTTGTTGTCTGGCTTGGCTTTGACGTTTTGGCTTTTGTCTATTATACATATAGAGAGAGAGAGAGAGAGGGGCTGATTCTTATGTAACCGGTAATCCTTGCAATTACCGGATACTGCCGGTTTATCATGTGCTTTTCTTCGGAAAAATAATATACGGTTAATTGTTGTGTTCCTAGAACTATACTATGTTTTGCATTTTTGTCCTCAAATCCCAGTAATAGTTACAGCCATCCATTAGGTTGCGCGCGTAGAAAACACCCTAAACCCACGTCTCACTTTTTTAAGGACATTTTCTAAGGAGAAAAGCAATAACGTACTAAACTTTCACAAACTGTACATATGTTAAAATTCGAACAGAGAACCTTTCTTGAGGGAGCAATTGCTCCCAAACACTACATTAGTGAGACTACGTGTCACTTAGATTTGAAAAAATTGAAAATCACCCCAGAAATTCTTGTGAATTACACACGACATTGTCTTCGATTATAAATCTCTAACCAATGTGTGCAAAAATGTTTATCAATGCTTTTAATATTTATCAATAACCTCGTTAATTTGTTAATAACTTCTCAACAATTTATCAATAACGTATCAAGGGCTTGTTTGGTAGGGAGGACTACACTAGACTAGAAAAATGCCTACATTTCATGTGCATTGAAAGCATATTATGTTGCCTAACTTGGAGAAAGGATGAAGACTATCTATAAGAGGTTGATGACTAAAATTATCCCTCATAAAAAACGAGCCAATAGTTTATTGATAGTTCATGCTATTTGTTTAGACCTCAAACTTCATGTGGTCAAAGTATGAAATACAAGTGTTTTTACTTGAATGAAGAGGAGATTTGGTTCCTTAATTGTATGACGCTTATGTTGGAATAAGAGTAAGAACGAGAGTAGTCTTCTATGTATTTGATAAGTCTTTTTCTTTGTACTTGGAAGCAGTCACACTTTTTACATAAATTCAAGCCTATTTATAGGAAGTTTCATAAGATATTCCTCAAACCGGTCATCTCAGCTTAAAGCTGAGCTGTTTATGTCACATTAGGTAGTCCTGTCAGGTGGTGGATGGTCCTCTTCTTAAGATGGCTTTAAGCGTTTTACTTGGGAGCGAGAGTGAGTAGAGTGGCCTATTACAAACGATTGGAGTCCCATCTGGTCAAGGGACGGGTTAGGTGGTTTACATGTGGTATTGGAGAGTACAAGAGGGATATTTTGAGAGGAGATGAACCCTCCTTTGTCAGGGGAGGTCTTGTGGTCGACGTGGCTGATTAGTAGCCTTTCGTCATGTTTTCCTGGATGGTACTGAGGCCGAGGTAGTATGGTCGGGAATTGAGCCGATGTGCATAGTTGGCAGTTATAGGGGACTAGATGGTCACTTTTTCCACGTGGCTAGCGAGGTCCACATGTTATGTTCTCATTGGGCAGATGGGCTCGGTTTATACCGAGCGTCAACAAGTCCCACAACTTTCTAGGCAAGTCTCCTTGGGTGGGAAGTTGCTTCTGCCCTTTGGGTCTGCCTAATGAGATTTTTCGTGCCCGAGCTATTTGATCGGAGTAGTCCGAGCGGTAGGTCTGGATGTGAAGGCTCGGGTCGGGTAGTCCCCCAACTCCCCAAGAAAAGAGTACTTTACCTAAGGCAAGTAAAATGGTTTAGATAGGTGTCAAATGCTCGAGTGTTGTGTAATTATTGCAGGCGTGATGATGAGGCATCTGGGGAGACAAAACAGGTGTGACGTCTAGTTTGCGTCTATTGAGAGAAACGATGAGAGCCACACGTGATAACGATCCAGGAAGGGGCATTTAGATAGGGCAGATGATTAAGACGATCGACAAGAGTGCCACATATAAAAGCTTTTTGGGAGGAATTTTATTTCAGCCATTTTGAGCTTTCAAAAACTCTAAGTTCGAGTGCAAAAGCAAAGAGATCGTGTTGCAGCCAGTTGGCTGAGTGCGATGGGAGAGAGAGGAAGAAAAATGGGGCTTGTTCGTGCAAAGACGTCGTGGCAGCCATGTCAGAGTTTCTCTCTCTAGGTTTCTTTGTTATTGTCTTTGGGACAGGAAGGAGAGAGGCTGAGTGCGATGGGAGAGAGAGGAAGAAAAAGGGGGCTTGTTCGTGCAAAGACGTCGTGGCAGCCATGTCAGAGTTTCTCTCTCTAGTTTTCTTTGTTATTGTCTTTGGGACGGGAGGGAGAGAGAAAAGAAGGAAAAATTAGTGAGCACGGCTGAGAAAAAGGAAGGACACAGTAGGTCCAGCAGGGGTAGTGTGAATTTTAAGGATTTGGATGATGCCTAGGATCGGTTGAGGGATAGGCAGCCAATGAGGCTGGGGGTGGGTGCCAAGGCAGTTCCCTATGTAGTGGAAGTTATTGGTTAATCGGATGAGGTGGAAGTGAGGGAGGCCGAGGTGGAGTGAGTGGCGGAGGCGTCATTAGATGACGAGGACGACCTTGAAGGGCATCTGGATGCCGAGGTACAGTGTTCGGAAGATAGGGAGGCGGAGGACCCCAAGCACCCTGTGGTCGACTTGGATGGAATTCCTCCGAGGGTGAGCACAGCTAGGGGCTCAAGGGAGCCGACGTGCTCGTATAGATACGGGATGCCTATTCACCCGTATTTTTATAAAGCAAGGGAGTGGTCGATAGACACGGTGCGGATCCGTATGACGCACATGATTTTGGATAAAAAAAGCTGGCGGGATTATGAATTGCCTAAAGACATAATATTCAAACTTCCGCAAGAGGATGATAAGCCGAGTAGACCGCTAAGGTGCTGGGTTACTTTACACTAGGAGATGTTCAAAAATAGGTTGCGTCTGCCCCTGCACCCATTTGTTCAGAAGTGGATGGCATTCCTCGAAGTCGCCCCGCATCAGATGAACTCAAACCTAGGACCCCTTTGTCATCTTCAAATGGAGGATGTGAAGCAATTCTAGGACTCAACTGAAGGGTCGAGTCTGGCGGGGGAGATGGGCTGGACTTGCTTGAAAAAAATCCAAAAATGCTATTCGGAGTTTGCGTTCAACTTTGAGGACCTCTTCTTAGACAAGGAAGATGTTGAGCAGGTGGAGAAGGGTCAAGGTGGTCATTTGCCCGAGAGCATGCCATGGATAGAGATGTCAAGGTTGTAGGGCATGGGGCGGAGACAAAGAAAGTGTAAGGAGTGTTTTTTTTTTTTTTGGTTATATCCAATCGGCTCAAGAGGAGCATTGTGTTTGAACATAATTTTTTTTTTTTTTGTGTGGATATTTTTAAGTGTTCTTAAGTAATATTATTTTGGTTTCAATTATTAAGTTTGATTGGTTGTTTTCAGTTGTATAATCTTTGAATTGTGTTTGAGTTGTGAATTGGTCATGTGTGTGGAGTAACGTTTAAGCGTAGGTAATTAGATAAAAACACACATATATATAAAGGATAAATAAAGAAGAGACAATGGACTAGGGCGGACCCGAGCTAAAGAGCTCGTGTCATGGAAAACCCATTTAGGAGTAGTACTGGTGGAGGTGCTCGGCGTTCCAGAGGTGTGGGAGTGCTTTGTCGAAGAGCGTAGTAAGGATATAAGTGTCAGGGCGAACGATGGCGACTACTCGGTAGGGGCCTTCCTAGTTGTCACCGAGTGTTCCGGCTGAGCAGTCCTTGGTGGAAAGTAGTACGGCACGTAGGACAAGGTCACTGGAGTGAAAGGTCCAAGATCGAACCTTCGCATTATAGTAGCATGCGATTCTTTACTGATACGTGGTGAGGTTCATCTCGGCTTGAGCCTATTTTTCTTCTATTAAGTCAAGGTCGAGAGTGAGTTGTTGAGTGCTCTTCTGAAGGTCGTAATGCTCGACGTGGTGAGTTGGTAGGCCGATATCCACTTGTATTATGGCTTCATATCCGAAGGCCAGGGAGAAAGGAGTCTCACCGGTCGATGTGCGCTGTGTGGATCGATAGGCCCACTATACCTCAAGTAAGCGCTCAACCCAGTCTCTTTTTTTGGGTCCCACTTTCTTTTTGAAGGTGCACTTGATGATCTTGTTGATGGCATCGACTTGACCATTGACTTGGGGGTGCGTTGGTGGCGAAAAACGAAGAGAGATGTTAAAATTTGAGCAAAATTCTCAGAACCGATCGTTGTTGAATTGGCGACCATTGTCAATGACAATTACCTGGGGTAATCCGAAATGATAGAGGATATTCTTCCAAATAAAACTACGAATGCGTGCCTCGGTGATGGCAGCGAAGGGCTCTACCTCAACGCATTTAGTGAAATAGTCTATCGTGAATATGGCGAATGTTATCTGGCCTTTTCCTTCGGGCAAGGGGCCGATCAGGTTGAGTGGATTGGGCGAACAACCATGGGCTTGCCATGGTGGCGTTGGCTCTAGTGGCTGATGGATGAGGTTAGAAAAGAGTTGACATTGTCGGCACTTCTCAACGATGAATTGGGCGTCATTTTTTAAGGAAGGCTAAAAATATACCCGACGAATGATTTTGGCAACCATGGTCCTGGATGCCGAATGGACCCCACAAACACTTTCGTGGACCTCACGAAGGACCTCGCGCCCCGCCTCAGGTGTTATGCATTGTAGGTAGGAGAGGGAAAATGTAACATCCCGACCCAATTTTAATTATTCATTTAAATTAATTATTTTATTTTATTACGAAATTTCAATTTTGCCCTTGTGGATAGGGTTATTTTGGTTATTTTTTAATCCGGAGGGATGTTGGAGAAATCAATGATACAATTACATAGATCGCGTCGATACGAGTTCGTAGACACGTTGTGGGCTCAGATCGGATTTGCAAAGAAAAAGTTACGAGCTACGGAAGCCCAGTGGCATAACTGTAAATAATTCAAAGTATGATTTTTTTTTAAAACCTGGTTTTCTCTCTCTGTGTGCGCTAGACCCCCCTTCTCCGGTGTTTGTACAGCCGACGGCTTTTTTTGCCACTGCCGCCGCCACCGTCCATCTCCGGCCACAAGGCCGGTACAAAAGGACCGTCTCCACCTCCTTTCTCCATCCCACCCCTCCGCCGCTTCAACCG